ACGCGGCCATTGTCCGAACGTTGGTGGCGCTTTTTTCATCTTCACACTAATGTTTTTAACCATCACACCGTTAAAGCTTACCCCATTTTGATTTAAAGCGCGGCTCCACAATCCCCATGATTAAACCAGTGCCTCATGGGAAATGCGATGTTATCATTTAAATCACATGTGTTGATTCCGTGTGCTGACATTTTATGCTACACTAATATCTTGTCCAATGCTCACGGACTTCACTGGATCTATTGAATACAGTTTTCTGGGGTTGTTTCGCTCATAGTCGACACAAGTCCTGTAAAAAGTTACGGTATAGCTTTGATCATAAGTGTGTTTCGTTTGTTTTCGACAAATAACATTTCTGGAACACGCGCTGTGAAACGTAACCGACAATGTAACTAATAATAACTAACTAATAAAATTATGCAAGTATGAATGGCACTGAACAAATCACTGACAAATATGTATCTTGATGATGCATGCAAACCAAATATTATAAAAACGGAACTCCCGAATTATCAATATCTTGCGCCATGGAGCTCTTTTTACGTTGGATATAATCTTAATGTGGTAATGCATGTGCTAAGTCAATGAATTCCTTATTGACTATTAAAATTAAACATAACAGTCACAGCGATTTTGGAGAAATTTTTTTCCTTTTAAATTTATATTTTCGCATTTTCACTAGAAAACTGTTTTTGTTTTTACATTCAGATAGTGAAATCTTTATAATACGCGAACTTAACAAAAATCACTGCCCAGGTATTGTTCATATATACCACATCTACAATCTCTGAAAAGTTAAAACAAATCGGATGAATATCTGTTGAGTAGTACTCATTTGATTAACCATTCTGATGTCAGAATTAAAACAAAGACATATGCTAATTTGCATATATCAATAGATGAATAGTGCAGTAGCTGCTTTATTATTTTAAAATAGTCATGAAGTGTTTTGACACCCAACTTGTTGAAGATAAGTAATCATCTAAAGAAGTTCTAAAACTATTTTATACTTTACTGCGTGATTTATTGATTATTTAAAATACATGTGAATGTCTAAATTTTGTCATCACAACAATGTGGGTTGTTATTTTTTCCGTTTATGATTGAGCTCTGAAGTTGTCATAAACTATTAAGGGATTGGTCAGTTACTTCGGCCTAGGGGGGGTCGGCAGATTCCATTTTGCCAGCTGTAAATCTCAGTTGACCCACTCCCTATCAAATAAAAAAAAGTGGGTGACCCCCCCACATTATATTTTAAAACTTAAAACATGCTGACCCCCCCCTAAAAAACAAAGAAACATTAACAGTTTTGGCTCTGACATGATTACAAAATGTATTATATGTGCATTGAAAATATCATGGTTTGCCATAATTTTGACATATTTTTTTAGCGTTTGCATTTAATAGACCTTAGGAGGGGAGGGGAAGCATAAAGCCAAAAAATGACTACAGAAAAGGCTGCAGGAAGGAGGGAAATCTATTCTGCTAAAGATAGTAAATAAAAGCAAAGATGTGGAGTACTTACTCGATAATCGCCCTTATAAGATAGGAAAAGAGGATTTGAATCTAGGCGGTTTGAACTCTTTGAAAACTAAGTTGGATTTAAAATATCTTCCATATCTTATAGACCAGGAAAGCTTTACACCAGAAGCACGGTCTGTGCTTATGAAAACAAAAGAAACTTTGATTTTTGCTTAAATTTGTGTTGGATTTTGGTATACATGTATATGCATATTTAAAAGTTAAAAAAACAAAAAAACTATTTATTTATTTTTTCATCATTTATTTTAATTTATATATCAGAATTTTCACAAATTTAACTTTTTTGATTTGCTGAACAAAAACTGTCACTGCTCTTTGTACTAATTGCTGTGTTGTCTTTCCGTCTCCTGTTATAATTGGATAAATCTAGTAAATATCTTATACAATAGTGACTTCAGACTTTAAATAAAATAATCTGATACCAGCAGCACATGGACTTTGGATGTGTTTAAAATTTAACTGTATAATTGGGGTTCTAGCCGCATTGCATAATCTGTTAGTTATTTGGCAACTTTAACCTCAAAATATTTAGCCTATAACATTTCTTGCATCAACACATTTATAGGCAATATAGGTAATAGTTATTATTAAGAACACATTTGTACGATTAACTTTTTTATCGTTTGTTCTGAAATAAAATTTTTAAAAATATATGCATGAGCGCGTGTGTGAATTCTGGAAAACATGATATCAAAAACAGGGTGACCCCCCTATTCGCACAATCAAAAACAGGGTAAACCCCCCCCCACTGATCCACCGCCCCCGCCCCCTAGGCCGAAGTAACTGACCAATCCCTAAATATACTTATAATTACTATAAAATATGAAAAGTTCATTTTATTTAACATGTGCAAAAACAAACAAAAAGAAAACCAAAAAAAAACTACTACATTTATAAATCATTTCATTATTACTCAGTATTTTACGATTTAAACGTGTCAGTTAAAATTATGTTTTGTTTAAATGTGTATATCGGCGTACAGGGCTTAAGCATGGTCTAGGCATCACCGGCGACTTTTCGCAATGGGTGTGAAAGGCATACTGGCGAAAGGCATACGATGCGTGTCAAAGTTTAGATTGTTACATTGACCTGTATACATTGTTGAACTCGAAATATGAAATTTGTTCCAACATTAATATTAATCGTTATGGACTAGATACGGTCTTTGCTGTCAGAGGTCGGGCTGGGAGGTCGGGCGCGTAAACCGTACAACCAAGGGTCGCAAAAGCCGTATCCAGTCCATAAATATGTATATTAGTATGGCATATTTTACATGACCCAGAATTGTTAACTATAATTGCGCAAACGAAAATGTACACAAAAGAAATAAATGGTCAACGAAACATTGCCGATATAAAGTCCGTGCCATTGTGTACATTATCTTTTCAGAATTGCTAGTGTGAACCACAGTCCCTCCTTTGAGCTCCATACACAGTCTATGTAGAGGGACTGTGACCGATGTTTTTTTCCAGTGAAAACACCGTATATTTTATTCCTCCTCCCCGTACCCGGGTCCCCGTGATCAATGAAGATTATTTATCTGATTAAAATCTAATGTATTATACAGTGTGTATTTTTTTTTATTGATTTTAAAATAAAATAAAATAAAATAAAATAAAATAAAATAAAATAAAATAAAATAAAATAAAATAAAATAAAATAAAACTAGTAAACGAAAAGCCCAAACTAGGACCTCATTTTAACTCAAATTGTGAGATTATGTTGCAAGTCTAGTCGAGTCATCAGATAGTCACGGAAGTGTGAGTCATTACATAAAATAAAAGAACACTTATGGTGTGACAACCTCTAAACAGCTTGTCAATGTCAATCATATTTTCTCTCCGTACTAGTCAGATAATTTTGCGTTACACAAATAAATACGCACATTTTACGGCGAAGTTTGACGAATACCGCAGTTTATTTCAATTATACGAGGCAAGGACCATGGAGGTAAAAAGTCTAAGTGACCTTTGACCAATAGTTTAGAATATATTTTTAACATCTACATAAATATCATTATATTAGAAAAGAATACGATGATTCTAACCAGGTCTATTGTGCTATAGTAAGTACACTCAAGGAAGATCTACATAATACTTTTTCGTTGAAGTTTAAATCGTCGTTAAATTTAAGACTGCTAATCAATTTATTAATTATCGAACGAGGTTCTTTGTGCACATGCGCCGATGTTGTGTTGTGACGTCACGTGGACGCCATTATTAACCGGGTGGCAGCTTGTGAATCTCTACGAAGACTTAAAGTTCTATTCTCCTTGAGCGTTTGACGATCTAGATTATCACCATGTTCAGTTGGCTTTCGGGCGACGAAAGTCGCAAGAAACAACCACACGTGTTTAATACGGTAGCGGATGGCTTGAAACAAGTGTACAAGTCGACAATTCTTCCGTTGGAAGAGCATTATAAATTTCACGATTTTCATTCACCGATGCTCGATGACCCCGATTTCTATGCCAAACCCATGGTTCTCCTTGTCGGACAATATTCTACGGGGAAAACTACTTTTATAAGGTATTTATTAGAACGAGATTTTCCCGGTATTAGAATCGGCCCCGAACCAACGACGGACTGTTTCATAGCGGTTATGCATGGCGATACGGAAGGAGTTATTCCGGGAAACGCCCTCGTTGTCGATCCGAAAAAACAGTTCAGGCCGCTGTCTAGATTTGGTAATGCCTTCCTCAATCGTTTCCAGTGTTCAACGGTTACAAGCCCGGTTATGGAAAGTATTACAATCGTGGATACGCCAGGTATTTTGGCAGGAGAGAAACAGCGAGTCGATCGAGGTTATGATTTCACTCACGTTATGGAATGGTTTGCTGAACGTGTTGACCGAATCATCCTCTTGTTCGATGCACACAAACTTGATATTTCTGACGAATTTCGTCGGATTATTGAAGTGTTACGTGGAAATGATGACAAAATTCGTATTGTGCTGAACAAAGCTGATATGATTGACCATCAGCAGTTGATGAGAGTGTATGGTGCCTTGATGTGGTCACTTGGTAAAGTATTGGCAACACCAGAGGTATCCCGGGTTTACATTGGATCCTTCTGGGACCACCCTCTTCACTTTGACATGAATCGCCGACTGTTTGAAGCAGAAGAACAAGACTTGTTTGCTGATATCCAGAGCCTACCAAGAAATGCAGCCCTCAGAAAACTGAATGATTTGATAAAGAGAGCAAGATTGGCCAAGGTGAGATTTTCAAGTAACGTATTGCACATATCTACTTTGATAAATTTATACACATTTTAAACACAACTAACAAACAATGTCTACTCAGGTTATTAAATTACATACAGAAAGCCTACAAAATAAGAAAAGAAAAGATGATAATTAATTAATTAATTAATGTATTGTTGTGCTATATTTTCAGTGTGATTTAGTTGTTGTTTATTAGAAATCTATTATTGTATTGTACTGTAGTTTGATTGTAATTTATTTCAAAAAAGCTTTAATACAGCAATTACCAAAACTGAAATGTCAGATTTCATTAAGGATGTAATAAAGCATTATTCTATTCTATTCTATCTACTTTGGCATGGTAGGTGATGATCACACAAGATTAAAATTAGTGTTTTTGTCTGGCTAAAACTATGCATCAATCTGATGAAAGTGTATGGTTGTAAACATTATGTACATGCAATATCACTGTGTTGATGATCACACTACTACTTGCTTATTTGTTTTTAGTATGCCTAGTTAGAGTATTAGTCATAGCCATGATTTAGACAACTATCTATTTAAACAATAATGAATACCAATACCATATTGGATAAGAAGGGTCCATGGCAAGATCATTGACAAACACGTCATGTCTGAATCCAATATTACTATTGTAATTATAAATCACTACCATTAAGAATTACCAAAATTGAGGGACTTTTTATTTAAATCAATTTACTTGCGAATAGAGGTTTACATTATCATGTGTTATGTTATAAAAACCTCCAATTCTGATAGTGGTGATTTATAATATTGTGTAACATCTCTGGTTGCTGTTTAAGAGATACAGTGTAGTGGGTTATGTCACTAATTTTATGATGCATTATTTTAAGCATTACCTGATTTATATTGATTGGATCCACATTGTAACATGTATAGTCGGTATGATTACAAGGTTTAAATAGTTTCAATAACACGCCATGATAATTACTAGGTGTAATAATAACATATAATACGAGATACCAGTATCTAGTTGAATACAAATCTGATTGGCATTTTAACCAATAGAGCTATGTCAGTAAAGGCAGTTGTTTATACTAATATATAAATATTCATGTTCAATGCCCTTATGTATCATTTACCCTATTGTCCCCTTTCTGTCTGAATGGCAAATGTTAATAAGAATTCCACAATATAATAATTAAAACAATATTGAAATAATTATTTTCAAATTGTGACATATTGTTACTCAAATAAATGCTGATCAATGAACAGTGTAGTGGGTCAGCTTTTTAGCTCCACTGTCGACTTTGTCAAGCGTAGCTTATCATATGAGTGATTGTCCGTCGTCGTCGTCCATGTCAATGTTTTACTTTTTCGACTTCTTCTTGAAAACTACAAGCCTGAATGCTTTGATACTTGGTGTATATGTACCTTGGGTAGACCTCTCTGAGGTTTGTTCATTTCATCTTTATATCTTCAATTCTCTAATTTTGGTGAATATTTTTGTCATTTTTGGTAAAAAGTGATATTTTACGACTTCTTGTTAAAAACCGCAAGTGCAATTGCTTTGATATTACATATATAGGTACTACATGTGGACCTCTCTCAGATTTGTTCATTTTGTAATGATATCCTTAATTCTCTAATTTTGGTGAATATTTTTGTCATTTTTGGTAAAAAGTGATATTTTCGACTTCTTGTTAAAAACCGCAAGTCCAATTGCTTTGATACTACATATATATGTACTACATGTGGACCTCTCTCAGATTTGTTCATTTCGTGATGATATCTTCAATTCTCTAATTTTGGTGAATATTTTTGTCATTTTTGGTAAAAAGTGATATTTTCGACTTCTTGTTAAAAACCGCAAGTCCGATTGCTTTGATATTACATATATAGGTACTGCATGTGGACCTCTCTCAGATTTGTTCATTTTGTGATGATATCTTCAATTCTCTAATTTTTGTGAATATTTTTGTCATTTTTGGTAAAAAGTGATATTTTTGACTTCTTGTTAAAAACCGCAAGTCCGATTGCTTTGATATTACATATATAGGTACTACATGTGGACCTCTCTCAGATTTGTTCATTTTGTGATGATATCTTCAATTCTCTAATTTTGGTGAATATTTTTGTAATTTTTGGTAAAAAGTGATATTTTCGACTTCTTGTTAAAAACTGTAAGTCCGATTGCTTTGATACTATTCATATTGTTCATTTTCTAATGATGTCTTCTGTTCTTTAATTGAAATGTGCATTGCTAACAGCGGAGCTATCTCAGCCGATAGGCTGCTTTTTCTTTATTAATATCAAAAATACTTGCTAAATGTGTTTATTATTAAAGAATCTTTTAAAACAGGATGGGTGTTGCCCTTTGTTATTTAGTAACAAACAATTTGGATCAATGTACAAATACATGCATTAGTTAATCATTCTTATTGAAAACAGCTTTGTGACAGGCTGTGGCTGGTGATGGCAAGTATTTCGTTTTTTTTTCTAATGTTGGATATCAAGTATGTTTACCAGTGTTTGTTTTAACCCCCCCTTCTAATTACAATAATGTATGCCACTGAGAGCTCTAATTACATGATCTATAGACTATAGGGTGAAATTATCCTAATACATGTATGAGTCATTTGTTGGTATCTAAATATAACCAATGCATCATGGTCATATCTTGAGTGTTGGGTGGATCTGTTTAGATTACTAGTCAAGTGGCATGTTGTCATTCTTGGCATAGTATATGAAGTGGTTATAAGGATCAGCTGATACCAATTAAATGTATTAGGTTTGTCTAATCTTAAGAGTGTACCAAAGTTCATAGCAACTATATAACTGTGTATTTCTCCACAAATAACATTGATTTCAAACTTACATGTACCATTCAATTAGCTTGGCTCAAATTACTGTACTTCCTCTTTTATAAGTCTAAGAGCCTCAACATGTAAAATCAGAGGAAGTAGGGTGGGGGGGGGGGGGGGGGCTTTTACCCAAGGACCACCTCAGAAAAGATAAATTTGTTTAACATTGTAACCATTTACAATCCTCAAAAAATTTCTTTCACTATGCCGGGCTTGGGAAAAAATAGTGAAATGAGTCATCATTGATTTCGTAAACACTTTTATAAATACAATGAAGAAACAAACATGTTTACAAAAATGCGCACATTTTATTACAATACGATTTACATACAGTCTCAACTTATGGTGTAAAAATTATTAGGGTCTGTGGGAATACAGTTGAACACAAGATCTTTATCATTATCTTCATCATTTGCATGCACAGTGTTGTTCCATTCGAACATTCCTCCCTCTCCAACCCTGTGTGGTATCTCCATTCATAACCGTGTATGTCATGTAGATGTGCGATAGAAATTTTACCGATCAATAGAAAGCTCCATAATACTCACCAGTACTGACGACACTATTACCACACTCAATGGTTGCAAGGCTGGTAACGCATAATAGCATAATAATTTGCCATTTACAGTGCGACTAACAACAAACACATCAGACTCGAAACTAAGAAGTGATGGTGTAATGCTTTGCCCGGAACATTCAGCTGGAAAATTCAAGATGCATTATCTTCTTTATGGGATGATTCCGTTAGTATGCAAACTCACGATGCAAATAACCTCCTTTGATCTAACAGATCAAGTCTTTCATTAACCAATCAAAATGCTACGAAATTCTCCAGAAATTGATTATTGACAATGTATTTTTTTAATGCGATGCAGAATTGAATTACCGCGATGTTATAATATGAACTGTTAGCACTGATTTCGATAAAAAAAACAGCATTTTTTTTACCTAAAAACTTGTGATTCAAAATTTGTGGAGGAACTATTTAACACCGTTCACGGTCGCCAACAGGTTAAGTTGAAATATAGTTTACCCATTCCCAATATACACTGATTATTTGGACAGTAAAATGATGTCTAATGACCAGGTTTCATGACTTGACAGTCATATTTTTAGCGTTACAAAAGCTATAACTCAAAGAAATATTGGATTACCCAGTACTTCAGTATCACAACATTGGGTTCATTTTAATAAATATTAACCCATTGTCGATGCCAGGTAAAAATAAGAGGTGAGCTTATACCATGGAAAAAGCTTATGACCGGAGAAGTACAGTAGTTGTTTCCTCCGTCGTCTGTTCTGTCACGGATATATTGTTATATTGTTGTTATATATCCAAGAATAGAACTATCCACTAGGGGGTAGTGGATGTTAGTTATAATCAGATTTTAACGGTATTTACTGTAAACCACTGTAATTTCACAAGAGACAACATTTCATGAATTTTGTGAGTCATTGTTAATCCTGAAATGTTGTAGTAAAAAATAAAATTTGCTAGCAGTGAAAATTAAGTGGTACAGGTATCTCTGACAATATCTCTGCTCATAGATACCATTGATAGTCAAACTGATTTTGATTTATTTCATGACTATTTTTCTTTTCCATTATCTTACAGGTACATGCATATATTATCAGCCATCTAAGGAAAGAGATGCCTTCTATGTTTGGTAAGGATTCTAAAAAGAAAGAACTCATTGCGAATCTTGGTGAGATCTATCGCAAGTTGCAGCGTGAGCATCAGATTTCAGCCGGTGACTTCCCACCTCTGCACAGAATGCAGGATTTACTGAAAGAGCATGATTTCAGTAAATTCAATCAGCTGAAACCCAAGTTGATTGACAGAGTGGATCACATGTTATCAAATGACATGACCCGCCTCATGCAGATGATCCCAACTGAAGAAGCTGTCTCTAGCAAGGAACCAGCAGTTCGTGGTGGTGCATTCATAAATGATATCACACCGTTTGGAGCTGGATACGGTGAAGGAGCCGACTTTGGTAAGAATGAACACGAAGAATGGATTGTCTCAAGAGATATTGAAAAATATGAAGATATTTTCAACTCTCTAAATCCTGTCAACGGTAAATTATCAGGCGTTACTGCCAAGAAACAAATGGTTCAATCCAAACTACCTAACACAGTGCTGGGGAAGATCTGGAAACTTGCAGATTTAGACAAAGATGGCATGTTAGATTTAGAAGAGTTCTCATTGGCCCAACATTTAATGAATATCAAATTAGATGGTAATGAATTACCTGATCAATTGCCAACTCATCTGATTCCTCCTTCCAAAAAAGGCTTTACTGCATAGACAACCTATAGTATAGGCACTGCATTACTGTATTTATCAAAATGATTTTTCTGAAGGTATGTTGTACATTGTTAACTATTTCACTAAATTATGGCAGTGCGTATGTAAATTCAGATGTTGCATCATTGTATTGAAACATAACTACACACCAACTTTTCCTAAAAGTCATTTTTCACTGTCTTTGGAAACCAGCTTTTTTTGAAATTGTTTAATTCTTGAAACAGGAAAACAAAGCAGGAAAACAACTTTTACTTTCACAGACGAATTCCTCTTCCTGTGTGTCTGTGAGCTGATTGTCAAATAATGTTGTATTTCACTGCCTTAGCAATCATTCATTTATGACGTGTAATTATTTAAATACATCATGCGATATCTAGTTTTCTGGTAATGAAGTCTATATTCTAATTATTTTATTTGAATGCTATAGTTAAACTACATATTTTATACCGTAAACATTATAACAAGGAAATAACCAGTGGTGCTATTTTTGCATAACTGTTTGTAAAGTATATTAGTGGTATAATTATAATTAATTTCATTAAAACTCAATAAAAATATAGCCTCACCAAGGTATGTGTATCAATATTTGGCTGACTTCAGCTAAAATAAAGTCATCTTAGTTTTGATTATGAGGAAATGCATACCATTGATATTAATACAAACCAATAGTGTCTATATGTGCAAATAAAATTTGAGGACAATTAATGTGAATATTTATTTTCTTTAACTGGTTGGGTTGGGTCTTATTTAAAGATGAAATGACAAATCACTTTAATCATTGTTCACTTTTTTTATTATTATTTTTATTGTTTTATCATAAATGGGATATCTTTATATTTTTCCTGCCATTGATTTTCACACTGTCTTATACCTGTAGTTAGATTACGGTATATATTGTGGTTAATACCATCTCATAGATATGGTGCTACAACCCAACACTAGTACATGCCCATAGTCCTACACCCCAACACTAGTACATGCCCATAGTCCTACACCCCAACACTAGTACATGCCCATAGTCCTACACCCCAACACTAGTACATGCCTGGTTCATCACTTTACTGACATCAATGTCTATCCAGTGATGCGGTGACATCATCTCATTTGATACTAATTTAACATGATGCTTAATTTTCACTTTCACCAGAAAATCCAGTCTTGAATGGCCTGAGTGGCTGTAATGCATGGACCGTATTTGCTTTATTAGAACTGCATTTGCCAAAAAGGTGTATATAAACAAAAAATAGCATCTGTTGTATACAGAATTATTAAAATATTACTTATTTTGACAATAAAAAGACCAATGTAATTTACATGAGTGCATGCACTACTAATAAAGCAAATATTGTATGTGTCTTTGACAATGTGTGCCTGGTATGCTATCTTCTCCTATGTAATTGCTAATATATATCACACCATCTCTTGTATTCAACAGTAGTAATTTTTACTTACATTAGTGAGTGGAGCAGCTTTAATTAACATGTGCATACGAGTATTGTAACCAAAATATTAGTTTATTCAGTTAAATGTGGTTACTCCAAATTCTACTTCACAGATTCCTAGTATTGGAGGGGAACTTAGTTTTAGTTTAGAAAGAATTCTTTTAGATACTCAGAATAAGTTCATTTCTTGTTTTTTCTCAAGATGTTTTTATATCAGCTCACACACAAACCATGTGATGAAAGCCCAGAGTGAATGACTGTGAATTAGTTGATTAGTGATGAACGAGACAACTTATTGTATATACAACATAGTTTACCACATAGCTTGCAAAGCATTTAATATATTATTTGATTCTATATACATGTAATTCAGAGTAGCAATAATTTATTGAAGATTTTGTTGTCAGATTTGTTAAAGCATGAATCAAATACAATTGTACTGTTATATTCAAGTACTCAATTTAGCCACAGCTTTGAACAAAAGCAGTGTATTAAGTTTGTTTTCTTGTAAACTTCTTTTTTTAAGTTGTTTCTGGTGTAGTGTTTATGCGCGTTTGTGCTTGATAAACAAACATTAGTTATGTAATATTAGAGAATACGATTGAAACCAAAGATAATGAATTTGTATTCGTTTTAACAATATATTGGCATCCTTGGATTTGTGGGTGCAATTGAGTTTATTTGTAGTATCGTGGGGTGCTAAACAAAATATTATGTGCCAACAAAAAAAAATGTTCGTGGTCAAATTATTTTTCAAAAACTAAGCGATGTGGAGATTTTTTTTTGCAAAACATTTTGTCAATAGAGGGCGCTGTACAGTTGCAAAATTAGTATGCCTGGAAACATCAATGTTTTATATCTATATGTGGATTTTTGCAATCTTAACTAGCAGTTTATAAATTCAAATACTATGCCTAGGACACTGGTAGCAATTTTTATTATTATTAACTATGTTTGACAATTTTATGTTTTGTTTTTGTTTGCAAGATCTCCTCAATGTTAGTGACTGGCCTTATTTCTTACTGACGTTTGACCGATGTATATATTCTAGCTTGTCATGGAATTTTTACATCATTCAAGCATAACTAATATATTGTGACAATGATACAGTGTATGTGACTTGCTAAAATATAATGTTTACTTAGAATGATGTCAACTGCTTTATTTTCGTAATTTTTTTGTGAATTTCATGAAATTTTTAGCAGTGAAATTTTTCCTGGGGTCCTACAACAGAGTGTCACTGAATTTTCTTTTCCTGAATGCCATGCAATGCGGAAATTGCAAACATTTTTAATGTTTACAGTTTGGCAAGTATTTCACTACTTTTTATTTTTAATATTGTAATGCCTTTATTAGTGACGTTTATTGTTTCAGTAGTTTCTAGGAAATGAATAAAATGGAAACCTGTTAATAGTAAAATTTCCAGTACAGTCACTGTATAGCGAGAGCACTTATCTCCTGTCTTGATAAGTTGATTTTTTTTGTTATTTTTGGTGCAATTATAGCAATGTTTCTGATTTTACGTCATGTTTATGAATTTCAATACTGACAAATATTTTGAGATGCAAGTGTTTAATATGACATAACATTGAAATGTATTTAAAAACTAATTAGAAAAGCAAACAAACTTACATTTAAATTGAATGAATTTTTGGCAATTATAGGATAATGCTTCTATATTTGTAGCTGAAGTGCGGTTATATTACTGTCAGTTTTGTCGCGAGGTAAAGACACATGTAAATGTATAATTGTTATGCAATTTCATTTTAAGCTATATGAAATATACTATAGAATTTAACATGTTGTCTCTTCATTTATTATTTTGTCTCTATGACAACCGTTTTGAGAGAATTGGATTTAAAAAATTGAAAGTTGTGAAAATGTTATTATTCGCTGTTTTCATACTGTCTATTCTGTTTGATGGTTGCTACACTTATTTGTATTTATATTAAGTGAATCCATTTTAATCCCCTCTACCACTACACATGCCTGTTGGAAATCACCATCAGCTTAGTTTGTGTGTATGAATCAATCACAGACAAATTTACTATATCCAGCACCATTTGTGCAAAATTCTGATGGAGGTTGCAGCCTCAATAGAAAAGAAAACAAATACTGAACCTGCAGTTAAAGTTAATAAAAATAATAACAAATTCAAGAAAAGGTCTATTACGCGTTACCAGACAGTCGTACGTACTCAATGTATAATGTTAATAAATAATATACAAAGTTGTGAAAAGAAATTTATATTTTGAATCTGCATCTCCAAATATTAAATGGCCAATATTCATCAAACTTCTATAGCAAATTGATCATGTGATCGACCTGTGGAAATGTTAAGATCATCGGGAGAGATACTTGCATGAGAAAATCTCCTATCGGAACTATTTTTGACTCCCGTCACGGTTAGATATGACATCAACTTAGTTCAAACATACATGCTATTCTACCAACTTTGCATTCACTTTGTACAGCTTTGTACGCAATTTTAATAGCTGACATCCACTATAGCCGACCGCAAGAGGGAGTTGTGCATTGAAACTACGAGCACATTTTAAAACATTCTGTAAACTTAAATTATCAAAATAACCAGCACGACTTTCTACTATAAAGGTGTTACATTTCAATAATAAAAATACAAAAACATGCTTTATGTCTTCATGTTTGTTTAGGATCCAAAAAAATGTATTTCACCAGCTTGTTAGCTCAAGTAGTCTCTCATGCAATTACTAGTCACGCCCGATTGATCTTAACTTTTGTGATAGGTCCATCACATGACAACGCAACTACTGAGATCATTTGAATTTCATTGGAATTGGCAGCCGATTAATGTTTGAAAGTGTTTCGAAATTCCATTCGTTTGCACGTGTGTCTTTCGTAAGTTGACCTATGACCTATCCATGCTTCGAAAGTCAGTACGATAGTAAACGGCCATTAACGATATATTTATTCACTTTTCTAACATTTAACGATGGGTCTCGATAATATAACAATATAGGTCACATTTCCATGTAAGTTTGCTAACTTTACAACCACTTTTCACTACTTTGTATGCAGTTTGTTTACTCATTTCACGGTTTCATAGTGGTACAATCTGCTAATATATGAGGCTTTTCCAACACATTTGCTCATTTGTTCTATATTTTTAACTGTGGGGTCGATATTACAATAACTTAGGTAAAATGTATTATTTTATTCCAATTGGCGGCCATTTAATGTTTGGAAGTGTTTCGAATCGTCATACGTTTTACGTGTGTCTTTCGTAAGTTGACTTATGACCTTTCTATGCTTCGAAAGTCAGTACGATAGTAAACGGCCATTTACGACATATTTATTCACTTTTCCTAACATTTAACTATGGGTCTCGATAATATAACAACGCAGGTCACATTTCCATGTAATTTTGCTAACTTTACAACCACTTTTCACTACTTTGTAAGCAGTTTGTTTATCATTTCACGCTTTCATAGTGGTATAATCTGCTAATATATGAGGCTTTCCAACACATTTGCTCATTTTTTCTATATTTTTAACTGTGGGGTCGATATTACAATGACTTAGGTAAAATGTATTGGCAAACCCACCTACTTTTCTAATGCTTTTCCTATCGTTTTAGGATGTTTTAGAACATGTTACGGTCAGCTCATAGGGCACTATCCTAATATACGAGACTTTCACTTGCATTTTATTCACTTTTCGTATTTTATAATTTCACAGTTAGATATGACAACAACTTAGTTCAAACATACACGCTATTCTACCAACTTTGCACTCACTTTTTACAACTTTGTACGCAATTTTATTAGGTGACATCCACTATAGCCGACCGCAAGAGGGAGTTGTGCATTGAAAATACGTGCAAATTTTAAAACATTCTATAAACTTAAATTATCAAAATAACCAGCACGACTTTAAACTATATAAAGGTGTTACATTTCAATAATAAAAATACAAAAAAATGCTTTATGTCTTTTCCATGTTTGTTTCAGAACCCCAAAAAAATGTATTTAACAAGCTTGTTAGCTCAAGTAGTCTTCTATGCAATTACGAGGCACGCGCTATTGATCTTAACTTTTGTGACAGGTCCATCACATGACCGCGCGACAATTGAGATCATTTGAATTTCATTGGAATTAGCAGCCATTTAAAGTTAGGAAGTGTTTCGAATTGTCATTCGTTTCACGTGTGCCTTTCGTAAGTTGACCTATGACCTTTCCATGCTTTGAAAGTCAGTACGAAAGTAGACGACCATTTACGACATATTTATTGACTTTTTCTAACTGTTAGCGATGGGTCTCGATAATATAACAACATAGGTCACATTTCCATGTAATTTTGCTAACTTTACAACCACTTTTCACTACTTTGTAAGCAGTTTGTTTATCATTTCACGCTTTCATAGTGGTATAATCTGCTAATATATGAGGCTTTTCCAACACATTTGCTCATTTTTTCTATATTTTTAACTGTGGGGTCGATATTACAATGACTTTAATAGGTAAAATGTATCAGCAAACCCACCTACTTTTCTAATGCTTTTCCTATCCTTTTAGGATGTTTTAGAACATGTTACGGTAAGCTCATAGGGCACTATCCTAATATACGAGACTTTCACTTGCATTTTATTCACTTTTAGTACTTTATAATTTTACGGTTAGATATGACAACAACTTAGTTCAAACATACACGCTATTCTACCAACTTTGCATTCACTTTGTACAGCTTTGTACGCAATTTAAATAGCTGACATCCACTATAGCCGACCACAAGAGGGAGTTGTGCATTGAAAATACGTGCAAATTTTGAAACATTCTATAAACTTAAATTATCAAAATAACCAGCACGACTTTCTACTATAAAGGTGTTACATTTCAATAATAAAAATACAAAAAAATGCTTTATGTCTTCTCCATGTTTGTTTCGGAACCAAGAAAATTGTATTTAACAAAAAAATTGTATTTAACCTGCTTGTTAGCTTGAGTAGTCACCCATGCAATTACTAGCCACGGCCGTTTGATCTTAACTTTTGTGACAGGCCATCAGATTACCACTCGACTACTGGGACCATTTAAATTTTATTCGAATTGGCGGCCATTTAATGTTAGATATGCCACATAGGTCACACGGTCAGATATGACAACAGCTTAGTTGAAACATACACGCTATTCTACCAACTTTGCACTCACTTTGTACAGCTTAGTACGCAATTTTAATAGCTGACATCCACTATAGCCGACCGCAAGAGGGAGTTGTGCACTGAAACTACGTGCAAATTTTTAAACATTCTATAAACTTAAATTATCAAAACAACCAGCACGACTTTCTGCTATAAAGGTGTTACATTTCAATAATAAAAATACAAAAAAATACTTTATGTCTTTTCCATGTTTGTTTCGGAACCCCCAAAAAATGTATTTAACAAGCTTGTTAGCTCAAGTAGTCTTCTATGCAATTACGAGGCACGCGCTATTGATCTTAATTTTTGTGACAGGTCCATCACATGACCACTTGACTACTGGGATCATTTGAATTTTATTCCAATTGCCGGCCATTTAATGTTTGGAAGTGTTTCGAATTTCAAATTTTTAACTGCGGGGTCGATATTACAATGACTTTGGTAAAATGTATTAGCAAACCCACCTACTTTTCTAATGCTTTTCCTATCGTTTTAGGATGTTTTAGAACATGTTACGGTCAGCTCATAAGGCACTATCCTAATATACAAGACTTTCACTTGCATTTAATTCACTTTTCGTACTTTATAATTTCACAGTTAGATATGACAACAACTTAGTTCAAACATACACGCTATTCTACCAACTTTGCACTCATTTTGTACAGCTTTGTACGCAATTTAAATAGCTGACATCCACTATAGCCGACCACAAGGGTGAGTTGTGCATTGAAAATACGTGCAAATTTTAAAACATTCTATAAACTTAAATTATCAAAATAACCAGCACGACTTTCTTTTGTAATAAAAATACAAAAAAATGCTTTATGTCTTTTCCATGTTTGTTTCGAAACCAAACGAAAGTATTTCACGAAGCACACAATGGGAGTCTTTGCAGTTACCCTGTCTGTATGTGTGTGTGTGTGTCCGTCTGTCCCACTGATATCTCAAGAATCATACATCGGTTTGTGATGAAATTTGGTGCATAGATGCTCTGGGCCAATGCACAGATTTGATTAGGTTTTGGTAGAAATCCATGCATATGAATTACCTAATTTGCATGATAATTAGCTTATTTTTAGCTGTTCCTTGACTGTTCCACTGATATCTGAAGAACCACTCATTGAATTTTGATGAAACTTTGTACATAGATGATCTGAGCTTATGCGCAGATTTGATTAGCTTTTAGTAAAACTCTGTGCATATTAATTACCTAATTTGCATGATACTTAGCTAATTTTCACCTGTTCCGTGACTGTTCCACTGATATCTAAGGAAGCACTCTTTGGATTATGATGAAACTTGGTTCATATATGCTCTGAACTAATGCCAGGGTTTGCTTAGTTTTAGGTGAAAATCTGTGCATATTAATTACCTAATTTGCATAATGATTAGTAAATTTTCTGCTTTTCCACTGATATCTCAACTACTAATCATCACATTTCAATGAAACTTGGTACCTAGATGTCATAGGACACTGCACAGGCCTAGTAGTTTTTAGGGTAATATCAGTATATATTTATTACCTAATTTGCATAATAAATTAATTTTCAGCTTTTGATATTTCAAGTAGTAAGCATTACATTTCATTGAAACATGGTACTTAGATACTCAAGCACTATGCA